AAAATAACTGTTGATCACTTAAATTTATTTTATGATACCTCGATCGTAAATGTAAAACAATAATAATAATTATGATTGTAAATTCTGCGGGTAGAAATGATGAAACTAAAAACAAAGGAAATATGGGATATAAATGGTATCAAATTAGCCACTAAAACAATATTCATACGGTCAATCACTGGAACGTGAATGGAGTTTCTCAAATAAACAATTCATTTATACAAGTGGAATAAACATAGACCGTGTAAGAACGTGACTTAGGCCAGTGAGTAGCGTAGAAAACTGTCAACCATGAGGTACCGGGTTCGAGTCCATCAGACGCGAGCAGTTTTTTCATTAGATAAAATTACAAAATCCCTTTTTCAGAATTAATTTCAATTAATAGCAATTATTTTTAATTTTTTAAATAAATTTTTTTTTGCCTAATATGGGAATCTATGTAGGATCCTACCCTGTATTCCTATATAGCAAAATATTTTTCCAACATTGTGAGATCAAAAAATTATACTAAATTCAATGTTAAATATGATTTATAATGTTTTTAGAATTTAACTGCGAGAGAATTGATAACCAGAGATTTACTTTGGCACTTTAAAAATCTAAAATGTAAAACGGGCATTAAAAAAAGGAACTGAGAGATTATTTGGACGGTAGTTTTCCAGTTTAACCCAAGCTAAATCGCTAAAACTGACCTTTTGTCATAATTTTATTATCGTAAAAATAAAATAAATGACTTTGTGAGCTTGAAGCCGGGTGGAAGCATTTAAATAAATTAACCCTGGCTATTTTTCACAAAGATATAGTTTTATTTAAATATTATCTTTAAAATAAATCAACCGCTAGTTTATAATTACGTAAATTTAGTGTCAGTGTTATATTATCCTTGAACGCAAATTCGGGCAACGACCTCTTATTTAATTTGAATTCTCAGAACAGGTAAAAGAGATAATAACAATAATAATAATAATAATAATAATAATGGATGATTTTATTTTTGTATAACAGGTGCTCTGACGCAATCCCAGTTCCCAGTGTTTACAATCTACGCCCAGAAGAGCTGTTTGGCGGTAAAGCCTTGCGAGCGTGCATGGTGCATCGACAGAGTCCAAGGTCATCGGCTGCAAGGTCACACTAAAAGAACCACCAGTGCGTCTTCACGTCAGCACTGCCTTGAGTTGTGTCTGGGCGAGCGGGACTTTTTGTGCCGGTGAGTAATCATTTACAATTAGTTGCCTTATTCTCGGTACACATACTTGGTTACATTCAGCTGGCCCATGTGCTTGCTGATATTGAGGGAAAAAATTTAAAAGATATCTACATTGTTGAGATTCTATTTAAGGAGATCCAAGTACCCTCCTAGTGTAAAGAATGTCTATACAAAATTACGTAGAAATACTTTTGTTATCTTAAAATTAATTTTTAAATTTATTAATAACATTTTTGAGGAAATTTTCGATAAATTTACTCATTAAATAATTATTGACATTTAATTGACTAATAAAAGTTTCAGTCTTAAAAATTTGACTACTTTGCGTGGATCTTTTTAATCGGATGAGAATCCGAGCAAGAAACAAGAACAAGAATATAAAAATATTTAAAATGTATAAAAGGTATGAATTTTTAAATCGTATAATCGAATAGTAAGAAAAGTTTCATATTTTCTGGGTTTCTATTCGGGTGAATATTACGATGGAGCACGTAGTTGCTCTGAAGATAAGATTTACGAGTGTCGATATAGTGAAACACGAGTCGAATCGTGAATTATCACGACTATAACTCGGTCTATCTTTATTCCTGTTTAAGTAAACCCATTTCTCTGACGGAATTTGAGGTCTCGTTGATGCAACCTCAATGCATTTGTATTCGCGACATTAACCTACAAGTCCTTTCTCTTCTCTCTAGTTAAAGGTTATGGGTCTAGTCGGTCATCACGACCAATTCGAAGTTATTTTCAGGACATTCATTTAGCTTCGCGCTATGAGGTGTGCAAAAACGGGGTAAAACCAATAACTTCCCGATTTTCTCAGCGGGAAGTTAAAAATAAAAAATACTCTATAAGAAATTATTTAATTATAGATTTTTTTTTTTTAAATCAATTACAAAATGTATTATTATCTTAAAAAATGAAGGATTTTTCAAACGTTTTGCTTTATCGAATGGATATAGCAAACAATCCAAAGTAAAACCAACAATATAATGGATTACGCAACAATGAGTGGTTGGAAGGATTGGAAGGAAGACTCGCGTGCAACAGGAGTCGATTCTTCGTATCCGAGAGTGTACAACTCTTAAAGATTGCGCCGACCGACGATCGCATTAACATTCTATGGGAACGGTATTTCTTCCGTGCAAGGTGCGCGGCTGACAAGCCTCTCGCTCTTTCCATCCAGCTTTACCACCACCATCACCACCACCATCATCATCATCATCATCATCATCATCATCTTGCTATACACTATCCTCGTGTTCATCCAGGCTTAGCTTTTGCGTTAACCGTTTTTCCACAAAGCGCTCGTTATAGATGTACATCTACTCTACGAGATGCTTAAAGTGATCATACGCCCTACAGCTTTCCCATACACATACACTGGCTCGTATATTTATAACACAAGATCAAAGCCATTGAAAGAAAGCCTCAGCAGGTTTTGTTGGAGCCAATTCTAATCCTTAACAAAATATTTTTCATCAGTCGATAATTCAAATCGAGTAGATTAGTATCTGTCTTGTGCTATGGATAAACCAGGTGAATGATAGCAGTTCTGAATATATATATATATATATATATATATATATATATATATATATATATATAAGTAAGCTCCAGTGAGATTGAATAGAATTGAATTGAGTGATGGATTGATGATTGGTATACACGATGTGTCGTGATGACGGTATTACTTACACTGGCATTTATCGATGTCCTTACCCAGTTGTGGATCGATCGCGGTCGCGCTTCTTGGTACCATGTCTAGTACTCTGTCGTCTCACTTTGAGGAAGCTACTAATTTTGCTAAAAAGTACACTGGAATTGGTACTGTTTCGGATGATAATCCTGGCCAGCCAAAGGTCAGCCAGGTTGAGAGCAAAAAAGATGATAAAAAAAATGATAAATAAATATTTATTTTTTTTGTATATTAGCAAGTATTTTTAGATTGGTTAATATTTGTATAAATTATTTTCGCTTATGTAATAAAATTTAATTATAAGTTATTTTATAGTTTTTATTTTTAGGTAATTTTGAAATTATGACTTGGAGAGGTAGACTTTATTTTTTTAATTTATTACAATATAATTATGAAAAAAATTTCATGACACTGAAGTTAGCAGACGTCTAAAAATTTTTGATTTTTTTTTTTTAATTAAATGACAACTAAAAAGATTTTTTAAAAAATTGCACTTATAGTTTTTCAAGTTTTTAACAAGTGGTATTTTTCTTTTAATTGTTTAATTGAAATTTTTTGGATTAAAAATTTCTAAAAATTTTGAAATGTCAGCTAACTTCATTTTCATAAAATTTCTCATGTGGAAATTGAATGAAAAATAATTTAGCGGATATTTAATAATTTTAAGAATTTTTCTGATAAATAAATGACTATAACAAAATGAGATTTAGAGAATTTAATTAATTGAGAATGCAATTTTTTAGAACAAATTTTTTTGTTAAAAAAAACTAGCAATCTTGCAGTCACTGTGTGACTGCTATGACTTGTGAAATAAAAATAAAGAAAATTTTGCTTTAATAAATAACAAATTTTGTAAAATTGTAATGTACTTTCTTAAATATTGACGTTTTTTAAGAAATAAGCTCATCCCCATGTTACACTTATCAAGAGCTTTCATTTAAGTACCCACATGCATTTTTGATATATTTTTCATATATACATATATATAAATATATAAAATATATGAAAAGTTCATGTGGGTACTCAAATGAAAGGTCTCGATGAGTGTAATACCAAGATGAGCTTATATCTTTAAAAATGCCAATAGTTCACGAGATACAAGGTCATTTCTAAATTAATGACATTTTTAAAGATATAAGCTCATTCTGATGTTACACTCATCAAGAGCTTTCATTTGAGTACCCACATGGATTTTCATATATTTTTCATATATATATAAATATATAAAATATATGAAAAATTGATGTGAGTACTCAAATGAAAGGTCTCGATGAGTGTAACATCAGGGATAGCTTATATCTTTAAAAATGTCAATAGTTCACAAGTTAAAAGGTCATTTCTTAATAATGTATCTTCGAGACAAAATTTTTCTTATTCTCTGAGTAATATAGATTAAAAAATTGTCAAATGACAGCTAACTTTACTAATATAAAAATTAAAAATAAAATTATGAGTGAAATTTTTTTTTGATGTAATTAATTTGTTAAAAAATTTGATATTTTATTTTATAAAACAATGACGATTATTTTTAAAAATTTACACATTTTTGGCGTTATTGAAAATTTTCCTATATCTAATAAAATTATTTTTCTAACAAAAAATTTTTATAATAAAATATATAAATATTTTCTAAGAAATAAAAAATTCAACTTAATTTAAACTGATTTTATTGCGATTAATATTCACTGAATACATAATATATAAACATATATCTTCTGTTTACATGAAATAAAATCAATATTCTTTATACAGAAAATTCTACAAAAAAAAAAAAACAATAATTATAATAGTAAGATTGCATATACTTTCATTTTAAATACTTATTCGTTATATAAAGGTAAATTATCTATCAAAAAAAAAGAAAAAAAATCTCTTATAAATTCGGTATCAATTTTTCGTATCGTGGAAAAATATTTTTGATTTTAATTATCAAATTTATCCTCAGAGGCTATCAGTGGTAAAATTGAATTTAAAGCTATATATTTAACTAGCCGAGTAAAAATGGATCAGTCTCAAAAAAAAAAAAGTAAAAAAATGCAGGAGACTTTTTGAGTATTTAATCTATTAATTATTATTATTTTTATATCTATAAAATAATTAATTATTTTTATTGGAAAATGGCCAATGGGATTTGAGAGTGCTGGCACTTAATTTTGTTGTACCACTGGTGCTCAAAGAACGGGATCTTAAACTAGGGGGGCTGTTGCTGCTGCAGCTGCTCAAGCTAGTGCTAGGGGTCAGTCCAAATATTTGTTGTACTGTTGGTCGCGTTGAATAATCTGTTCTCACAGTTTCTGAAAATAATTATTTTTAATTTGATAATTATTATTATTGAAATAAATAAAATAATTTAATAAAATCATCAGGGTTACAAAAAAATATTTTTGTTAAATTGCACTGTACTTTCTTAAATATTGACGTTTTTGCAGATATAAACTCATCCCGATGTTACACTCATCAATAGCTTTCATTTGAGTACCCACATGCATCTTTATATATTTTTCTTATATACATATATATAATATATTTATTAAAGATATAAGCTTATCACGATGTTCTACTCATCAATAGCTTTCATTTGAGTACCCACATGCATTTTTGATATATTTTTCATTTATACATATATATAATGTATACAAATATATAAAATATATGAAAAATTGATATGGGTACTCAAATGAAAGGTCTCGATGAGTGTATCATTGGAATGAGCTTATATCTTTAAAAATGTCAATAGTTAACAAGATATAAGGTAATTTCTTAATTAATGACATTATTAAAGATATAAGCTCATCCCGATGTTACACTCATCAAGAGCTTTCATTTGAGTACCCACTTGCATTTTTGATATATTTTTCATATACATATATATATAATAAATATAAATTTATAAATATATAAAATATATGAAAAATTGATGTGGGTACTCAGATGAAAGGTCTCGATGAATGTGACATCAGGATGAGCTTATATCTTTAAAAATGTCAATAGTTCACAAGATACAAAGAACTTTCATAATTACGTAGATTTATTAACTTTATAAAATATTGATTAATTTCATTTTTTTTAATAAATGCATCAATTAAATTTTTTTAACTGTCAATTTTTTTTTAATCTATCAATTAAAAAATAGATAGTTTGATAAATTATTATTAAATTTAATTAAAATAATTATTTTGTAACCGTGAATAAAATAAATAAAAAAAACCTACCAATAAGCGGAGTTTCATCATAAAGAGAGCCTTGTCTCTTGCTGATAAAAGAGTTCCTAGTGCTCTCGATATAAGGCACCTGCTGTACACTTTCCGCGGCGTGTTTCCACCTCAAGTGGTCCTCAACGTGGTCAGTGAGGTGTCTGAGCCACTTCTGGGCTTCCTCTGTCGACTCGAGCTTTATACTGGTAGTATTTTCGCAGCCGTCCACGTTGTTACTCACCCTGATCTCCTTCCCCGAGCTCGAGGGCTTCTGTATCACGGTTTCGCGGTTTATCGGAACGCTGTGGATTGGAGGCTGCTCGTCTTCTGCCAACTTTCGAGACTCCCAGGCATTCAGCGTAAAGTTCCTCAGTCTTGCCCAGCATTTCTTGTTATTTATACTGATTGTGCCCGTGTGGACGTCCTTTGTCATGCAGTCTAATTGCGCCGCAAGTCGACAGCAAAAGTGACCGAATAATGGCAACGCGTGGTGTTTGTTTTCTGTAATTAATTTTTTTTTAAAATAATGATTGTTATTATGCTATTAATTAAATTTTAACTAGCAACCGATTGAATAATGACTTTTGTTAAATTGCACTGTACTTTCTTAACTATTGACATTTTTAGAGTTATAAGCTCATCCTGATGTTACACTTATCAAGAGCTTTCATTTGAGTACCAACATGCATTTTTGATATATTTTTCATATATACATATATATGATATATATAAATATATAAATATACGAAAATTTAATGTGGGTACTCAAATGAAAGGTCTCGATGAGTGTAACATCATGGTGAGCTTACATCTTTAAAAATGTCAATAGTTGACAAAATATAAGGTCATTTCTTAATTAATGACATTTTTAAAGATATAAGCTCATCTCGATATTATACTCATCAAGAGCTTTCATTTGAGTACACACATGCATTTTTTATATATTTTTCATACATACATATATATAATATATATAAATATATGAAAAGTTGATGTGAGTACTCAAATGAAAGGTCTCGATGAGTGTAATATTAGGATGAGCTTATATCTTTAAAAATGACAATAGTTCACAAGATACAAGGTCATTACTCAATTATGCATCTAGAAATTGAGCATTTTTTAATTTTTAACATAAGAAATAACAATTAACTGATCATGTAAATTAACTTACCCAAATTATTGATTATTAAATCATGAGTATGGATATTTTCTTCGGTATCGTCTACAGTTAATTTAGCAGACGCCATCAATTCAAATTGTGGTCCCCTAAAAAAAATAAATTGATTAATTTTGCTGACTTTTTGTCAATTTAATCATGGATAAATAAATAAATTAATAAATTAATTAATAATAATAATAGTAATGATTAAAAATCTGTAACTTACAATTTACCAGAATTTAATTCATCTTTCAACGAAGCGGCAAGTTTTTTCCCAACAGTTTTAGAAATCGACGAATGAATAGTCCGTTTAATCCGACGAGGAGTACTTGCAATGCTTAAATCTTCTTGCAAAATATGGCTGTAGATTTCCAACGTCAATTCAAAGTCTGCTGGCACGTTATTGCTAAAAAAAAAAATCAATTTTTTTTTCGATGTTCGGGACATGCAATATGATTATAAAAATTCTTAATTTCGAAAAAAATTATAAACGAATCGACTTTTTGGCTCAAAACCTTGTAAAGAATGCTACTTTGAAAATTCTGAATTTCTAAAAAATTTCAAGGTTTTTTTTCATATTCGTATTGATAAACATAAAATACTTACAAGAGCAACACGTCAGGAAAAGTAATGTCAGTTTGAGCGCGATCAACTGGACAAATAAGTGCAGTGTCGTGTATTTCAGTTCCAACTCTTGCCAAACAAAACACCGCGAATCTACGGTAATCTCCGCGGTTCTTAAAATGATCCGAGTCACGCCACATCAGTGGAACACGCAGTTCCGATAAAGAAACTCGCGCTGCGCTACCGGAGACACTGAAAAATATTTAAATTAAATTTTTAAATTATTTAAATTCATAAAAAAAAAAAAAATATAAAATAATTACCTTGTTTTGTTGATATCTTTTTTACGTCGTTGCAATTCCGCCATATAAGCAGACATACGTTCATTGGACGTCAAAAGAGCACGTGCTGCTTCTAAACTCTGGGCTCTGTGTCTCGCGGCGGCTAAAAGTCGCGCCGAGCCTTCGCGCATTTTTATTTCCACCTCGATTTTTTGCTCCAAATCATATTCCTGCAACAACAAATAAATAAATAAATAAATAATAGTATAAATTGCGTGATTAACAATAATTGAACAAAGATTAAAAACCACAAGACTTTAAACGAGTCTGGTCTTTAGAATATTGCGCAATTCATTATTGCTGTTCTTGTATAATATAAGTTAAGTGAATTAACTGGTGGAGCAGCCTTATTCGTTATTTCAATTGTACACCTGCACGACAAAGCCTTTACTGATTAATTGCATCGTTAATACGTCCTACGTTTCAGTTCGAGTTGGCTTTTTTTAGTTTCGGCTTTTACTTTGTTGCCTTTTATTTTATTTTCTATTCATGCTTTCAAACGACATTTAAATTCTTTACTCCTACATCCTGGCTTGTATTGTGAATTTTAAACTTGAGTAATTACTAATAATAATAATAGTAACAATAACTAGCAACCTGCAGTCACTATATGACTGCCGTGAATTGTGAATCATAAATAAATAAAATTTTGCTTTATTTAATAATGATTTTTGTTAAATTGTACTGTACTTTCTTAACTATTGATGATTTTAAAGATACAAGCTCATCCCGATGTTACACTCATCACGAGCTTTCATTTGAGTACCCACATGCATTTTTGATATATTTTTCATATATACATATATATGATGTATATAAATATATAAAATATATGAAAAATTGTTGTGGGTATTCATATGAAAGGTCTCGATGAGTGTAATGGGAGGATGAGCTTATATCTTTGAAAATGTCAATAGTTTGCAAGATACAAGGTAATTTCTTAACTACTGACATTTTTAAAGACATAAGCTCATCCCGATGTTACACTCATCAAGAGCTTTCATTTGAGTACCCACATGCATTTTTTATATATTTTTCATATATACATATATGTAATACATATAAATATATGAAATATATGAAAAATTGATGTGGGTACTCTAATGAAAGGTCTTGATGAGTGTAATATAAGGATAAGCTAGTATCTTTAAAAATGTCAATAGTTCACTAGATACAAGGTCATTTCGTAATTATGCAATACCCAATATATATTTTAAAAATATAAGCTCATCTTGATGTTACACTCATCAAGAGGTTTCATTTGAGTACCCACATGCATTTTTGATATATTTTTCATATATACATATACATAATATATACATAAATATATACAATATATAAAAAATTGATGTGGGTATTCATATGAAAGGTCTCGATGAGTGTAACATCGGGATGAGCTTATATCTTTAAAAATGTCAATATTTCAGGAGATACAAGGTCTTTTCTCAATTGTGTATCTAGATATGAAGCATTTTCAAATGTAGCCTAAATACTTATCATCATAAATTGACTATTGGTGAGAATGATATGAAACTTTGAAAAGGCACAAATTCAAGTCAAGAACTTTCCAATGATAGCAAATTTGACCAAAAAAAACCCATTTTATCATATGAATACACTGGCCACAAAATCGTGCTTATTCTCTTAATAATATAGATTTAAATTTAATTGATAATAAAATTTAATAAATATTTTTTGTTATTATTTATATAACAAGTGGTTGAGATTATGAAAACATAAATAGAGAAGGGAATAGCATAAACCGGGAATTGGCCGACAGCCATCAACAAAATTAACCAAGTGTATTTAAACTTTCTTCTCTTACTTCTAAGATAAAAATAGTAACCTACTAAATTGTTTTTCTCAAATAAAAAAATTATTATTTAATTTTTTCCCGGATTCTAGATATTAAATACAAGATAGCCTTTTTGTTATAATCTGACCGAGTCAGAGAGGATGCTGATGCTCGCGGGTATTTCGCGGCCACACAAGTTTAGTTATGTATATTATGGTTAATATTAAGAACGAGTCTTCATCTTCATCTTAATCTCCGGCGTATTATACTTATACACAATATTCTTCTTCTTGTTCTCGGTCTCGGTCTCGGTCTCAAACTTGTTGGCAAATAAAAGTTACGGGTGTATAGTAATAAAAAACCAAACTCAACCCTCGACGCAAAGTTTATTTTATGTTCTCAAGTGTAATACCGGCTTAGCATAGATTTACAATTTTTATCGCTGATAAACCTTATTTTTTTTTTTATTTAATAACAAAATTATTGAACCTTGTACTAAAATTGTTTAAATTTTATTAAAAAGTAGTAAAAAGTCGGAATTTAAAAAATTGCTTTAAATTAATTATTATTATTACATAATTAAGAAACAACCTTGTATCTTGTAAACTGTTGACATTTTTTAAGATATAATTATAAGCTCATCCCGATGTTACACTCATCAAGGCCTTTCATTTAAGTACCCACATCAATTTTTCATATATTTATATATATTATATATATGTAGGTATATAAGAAAAATATATCAAAAATGCATGTGGGTACTCAAATGAATGCTCTTGATGAGTGTAACATCGGGATGAGCTTATATCTTTAAAAATGTTATCAATTAATAAATGACCTTGTATCTAGTGAATTATTGACATTTTTTAAGATATAAGCTCATCCCGATGTTACACTCATCAAGACCTTTCATTTGAGTACCCACATCAATTTTTCATATATTTTATATATTTATATACATTATATATATGTATGCATGAAAAATATATCAAAAATGCATGAGGGTACTTAAATGAAAGCTCTTGATGTGCGTAACATCGGGATGAGCTAATATCTTTAAAATATATGTTATATATATTACATAATTAAGAAATGACCATGTGTCTTGTGAAGTATTGGTATTTTTAAAGATATAAGCTCATCCTGATGTTAGGCTTATCGAGACCTTTCATTTGAATACCCACATCAATTTTTCATATATTTATATATATTATATATATGTATATATGAAAAATATATCAAAAATGCAAGTGAGTACTCAAATGAAAGCTCTCAATGCCCACATCATCGAGAGGAGCTTATATCTTTAAAATATATATTATATATATGTATATATGAAAAATATATAAAAAATGCATGTGGGTACTCAAATGAAAGCTCTTGATGAGTGTAACATCGGGATGAGCTTATATTTTTGAAAACGTCAACAGTAAAAAAAGTACAGTGCAATTTAACAAAATTCATTATTTATCAAAGCAAATTTCTTTTATTTATAGTTCACAAGTCACGGTAGTCACATAGTGACTGCAAGGTTGCTAATATTAAATAAATACCTTGTGAGGCCTCGAAACAATCAACACCGGTGTCATTTTATCACCGCGTAATTTTCTATAACACTCAAAATTTTATAAATAAAAATTTTTCAAGGCGTATTGAAAGAGTGTTTCACCTAGAGGGTGTCTAACTGAGAAGTAGCCGGCGACAGGGGTTGTAGACAGCGAATATCGATCCCTAATCCCCCACTCAGGTTTTAATCCGCGTAAACACAATAACGATTCTGCGCTTACTCATATCACGGCAAGTAACGTAGGTCGTGTTCTCCATAGAAGCACTATCGCGAGAAAAAAATTATTTATATCTCAAACGACCTTACTCTGTTAAATTAACAGCTCAAGTAAAATAATTCGAGGATAAAAAAATCGTCGAAAGTAATTAAGGAGTTTATTTATAAAAAAGAGGAGAGGTTAAGACACACTTGACCCACGATGACCGAAGATAATCAGCTTTAATCAATCTACAAGATATACTGCGACACTTTTATTTTTTTTTTTATTTTATTTGTTACAAGTGTTTGTAGCTGTAAATTTACCAGCCGTCAGCGGTATTATTAGTACCGAGGGAGATATAATTGAGCTTCAATTTACGTACGATCGATCATGAGAATCAACTGCACTTGAATCTGTAATAAATTTAAATCGAGATTCAATTGCTTTTTTAATATGAGATAAATCTTTTACATTTATATTCATTAGAAAAATTGCACGCCTCATAAGCGAAGCGTTGAGGTTGTGCTCTACTCTCGACATTTCAAAAAAAATAGTTTTCTCGAAACTGAAATTGATTTTTTGTTATTTATATCGCACTTATAGGTTAATATGAGTACACTTATATCAAGTCAAATAATTTGTCAGGCACATAAAATATATTTCAATAACAATTTTTTTGTTTAACATAGTAAATAATAACATTTAACATAATTTTTTCTGGACGTCCGTGTATGGATGAGTGTATGTGGCAGAGAAATTGGTCGAAAAAATGATCGTACCGGAACAATTTTTTTTTTATTATCTAAAGTAACACACGAAGGATTTTCCTAATTAATATGAGCGTTCAATTCACTGTCGTTAAATTATTATTTATAAAAAACTAATATATGTCTGTAGACTTTTTTGTATATCTATCTATACATTTTATTATAGTATTTTTTTTCCTCACCTTAGAGTTATGGCGCCACTAAACCATAGCAGAGTTTTCTGTTTTTTATTATTTTGCTTTTTATATTTTATTTTAATCAATTTTATTGTGAAAAATGAGATTATGAGGCGTGCACTTTTGGATTTTCCAAACTTTTTTTTTATACTTTCAAATTTTATATCTCGTCATAAAAGCAATTTATCAAAAAATGTACACTGATATAAGGATTTAATAACTATTGATCAATTAATTTATTTGAAGACAATTATTTAATTTACTGAATTTTAATAAACATTTTTTAATATTTATTTAGGAGGAATATTTATTAATAATTCATAAGTATTTATTAATAGTTAATAAATATTTTGTTGAGTGAATTTGTTGAGCTTGTAATGTCATATGATATCAAAATTGCTTATAAACAAAAATCATCTTTATAAATTATCTATATTAGTAACAGAATAAGAAAAATTTTGTCTCCTCGATAGTCATATGATAAAATCGGTTTTAAGCTCGAAGATACATAATTAAGAAATGACCTTATTTCTTGTGAACTATTGACATTTTTAATGATATAAGCTCATCCCGATGTTACACTCATCGAGACCTTTCATTTGAGTACCCACATTAATTTTTCATATATTTATATATATTATATATACATATATATAATATATATAAATATATGAAAAATTGATGTGAGTATTCAAATGAAAGCTCTTGATGAGTATAACATCGAGATGAGCTTATATCTTAGAAAAAGTCATTAATTTAATAATGACATTGTATCTTGTCAACTATTGACATTTTTAATGGTATAAGCTCACTCCGACATTACACTTATCGAAACCTTTCATTTGAGTACCCACATCAATTTTTCATAGATTTCATATATTTATATACATTATATGTATGTATATATGAAAAATATATCAAAAATGCATGTGGGTACTCAAATGAAAGCTCTTGAAGAGTGTAACAGTTTATAATTATTATTAAATATAAAAAAATCCTTCTATCTGTGTATAAGACATTATTTGTAGGAAATTTAATGATCTTTAAAAACTGTCTTCTACGATTTTTCGATAAATTCATTTTTTTAAAAGTTATTCCAATTTTAAGTAAAATACATCTTAAATTTATTTTTGACAAAGCATTATTGCAAAAGAGGATTGTTTAACATTTGAATACGATTACGAGTGTATAGTAGTGTAGTTTAATTAGCCTTTGGGTAAACTTAAAGTTTGTTCAGGTTATTTACCGAAATAACACGTAAACGTTTAATCCTTCAACGAGTGAACCGAGTGTTATGTTGTAAGTGGTAGTGTATAACACAGATGATAATACATAATACATAACATAACATAATATAATACATGTGGCCACGCATCCCGTTACGTAATTATATTTAATGCACGACCATACCTCACCTTCAACTAAAAAGTCAAGCCGTACCTTTCCATCTTCCATCCCATCCAATCTTATTCTTTCTTTGCTTAGTTTAATATTACATTATCAAGTTTTAACTCGCTAAAAACCGGCCTTTCTATTTTCGTATGTGTAATTTTGTATATTAATTTTATTTAATTCATATATCTTTCGGACACGCTATATTTGGACAGGACAGATGTGTGTCATCGGACTTAAAATCCAAGTGGTAGACGTAGGCGGAAAAAATATATTTTATTTGTCGATAAAATATATCTTTTAGTCGTTTTACATGTATAATAGACATATAAATTAGTGAACCTCTTTTTGGGTCAACAGGAAGATTATTTCGGACGAGGGCACACGACCAAACCTCATCTATATATAATGAACCACTCCTCGAGCTTCACTTCCCAGTTATCTAGTTTTTACTTGAATTATATCTTTATTTAGATTTCTGTTCCTATTTATTGTCTATTTTCTTCATTCGTTTTTTTCTTTTTTTTTTTTTTTTTTCAATTAATTAACTTATTGTCATTTTTAATTCATACTAAAAATTTTTTTTAATTAATTAACTGATAATTTAATTAAAAAAATTAATAACTTGAATTCAAAAATATTATTATTATTATTGTTACTAGCATTAAAAATTTGGTTTGTTAAATAATGATTTTTATTAAATTGCATTGTACTTTTTTAAATACTGATGTTTTAAAAGAGATAAGCTTATCTCGATGCTATACTCATCAAAACCTTTCATTTGAGTACCCACATGGCTTTTTTATATATTTGTCATATATACATATATATAACATATATTTTAGAGATGTTAGCTCATCCCGATGTTATACTCGTTAAGAGCTTTCACATGAGTACCCACATGCATTTTTGATATATTTTTCATATATACATATATATAAATATATAAATATAAAAAATATATGAAAAATTGATGTGGGTACTCAAATGAAAGGTCTCGATAAATGTAACATCAGAATGAGCTTATATCTTTAAAAATGTTAATATTTCACAAAATACGAGATCGTTTCTTAATTATGTATCCTGGACACAAAATTTTTTTTATTTTCTTAATAATATAGATTATAAAAAAACTTAAAGATAAAAATTTTTAATTTTAATTTTAACCAAAAAATCTTATCCAAACTTCCGACATTATTCATTTACTAAAATATTTAAATGAAATTAATTAAAAAATTATCATAACAAGATAAAAAACTCATATTATTAAAAATAGAAATTACGTTGTCTAATAAATAAATTTTATCACCACTGACGACAATACTATAACCAATAGCTTTAACATAAATAACAAAGACAAATAAGAACTAAGAAAGAACTAAGAAAAAAATCTAGATTAATGATAATTAATAATATAAGATACTACACTATATATTAATATTAATGATAGAATATTCAAACGTGGGACATTACAAGCTATTGTTGATTGTGACTCACAATTAGTGGGACATTGGATTAATTGCCCGTATGTTTTACACTTGTATGTACCTAATTACAGGGAAAATAATACTATAATTATATATTTATATTTTACTTAAGCATCAGTATGTTATTTTAATAATTTATAATAGTTCTTTTTAAGTAAAAGTGATCATTTTATATAATTTATTTTAATTTTTATTGCCAATAGAAATTTCATTACCAAGGTCATAGAAAAATAATAATAAATAAAAAGCGATTGTTTAACCAAATTAACATTCAACGCGTGATCTATCGAGTTGAAAGCCATCAAACTTTATTAGTCACTGCAATAAAAATAATCTCTTACTTTCACAAAAGTAACTTTTGAGTTTAACTATTTTTTTTTATCAAAGATTTTTATTTTAAATTTAAATTACAGCCCACACATAAAAAATTTATCCGTAAATTTTTAATTTATTGTTTTTTCAATTTTTTGTATTGTAAAATTTTTTTCTTAAGAAAAAAAATTATTTTTTTAAAATAAAAATTCAAAAATTTTTTTCTATACATATAAAAAAATTTTTAAGTAATTAAAAGAGCACTGATAAACGGATTTTTTTTTATATTTAATAAGCTTTATTAACCGTTAATAAATTATTTTTTAATATTATAGAATTTAATAAATATTTATCAACAGTTATTAAATTATTTATTAAATATGATTTATTAACTGTTAATAAATATTTATTAATGGTTAACGAAGACTTCTAACTGTTAACAAATATTAATTTAAAATAAAAAGCAAAAATAGCAATTTTCTTTTGACACTTTTTGTAACCCTATAGCTGGAATACATGATAATAATTCAATTCACTAAATAAATTAATGTTTTTAATATTTAAAAATATGAAAGATAATTATGAGCTGTAATAGAATTTGGTATTTTATAATAAACGTTATTAAAATATAATATAATTAATGCAAACTAGCAACTTTGCAGTCACTATATGGTTGCCGTGACTTGTGAACTATAAATAAACTAAAATTTTGTATCATTAAATAATGACTTTTGTTAAATTGCACTGTATTTTCTTAACTATTGACGTTTTTAAAGATATAAGCTCATCTCGATGTTATACTCATCAAGAGCTTTCACATGAGTACCCATATGTATTTTTGATATATTTTTCATATATACATATATATAATATATATAAATATATGAAATATATGAAAAATTGATGTGGGTACTCTTATGAAAGGTCTTAATGAGTGTAATGGCATGGTAAGCTTATATCTTAAAAAATGTTAATAGTTGACAAGATCTAAGGTAATTTCTTAATTAATGACATTTCCTAAAATATAAGCTCATCCCGATGTTATACTCATTATGAGCTATCATTTGAGTACCCACTTGCATTTTTGATATATTTTTCATATATACATATATATAATATATATAAATATATAAAATATATGAAAATTGATGTGGGACTCAAATGAAAGGTCTCGATGAGTGTAATATCATGGTGAGCTTATATCTTTAAAAATGTCAATAGTTGACAAGATACAATGTCATACCTTAATTAATGACATTTTTAAAGATATAAGCTCATTTTATCATTACACTCATCAAGAACTTTCATTTGAGTACCCACATGTATTTTTGATATATTTTTTATAAATACATATAATATATATAAATATATGAAAATTGATGTGGGTACTCAAATGAAAGGCCTCGATGAGTGTAACATTAAGATGAGCTTATATCTTTAAAAATGTCAATAGTTCACAAGATACAAGTTCCTAATTATGTATTTAGAAATAGAGCATTTTCGACCTAAAAACCGATTTTATCATATGACTATCCTGGAGACAAAATTTTCCTTATTCTTTTAATAATATAGATAATTATTTTTAATCACCAATCTTCATATCATATGACATTACAATCTCAAAAAAATATTTATCAACCGTTAATAAATATTTTTCAACTATTAAATAAACACTCACAATTAACAAACATACTTTCCACAAATTAAAAATTTATGGAATATCAAAAAATATTTATTAAATCAAATAATTATCTTCAAACAACTCCAAAAAAATTACCTTTAAATTATGAGCAATCTGTCTTATATAATACAAATCCAAATCCTGCAAGACTTGAAATTTCTCCTGATTCTCCGATTTATCCTCAAAAGAATGATTATCACTCAGTCGTTTTTTGCACTTTTTGGAGTCCCTTAAACTCAAAGACTTAAGAGGGGGAAAGCACGATTCCATTTTCACAACAAAAACTCAGCAAAACAACCGAAAATAATTAAAGCGTCACATTATTTAATCACCGGCACCACGTACAAAAAAGATTTAAATCTTTACGTCTACGTCCCAGAACTGAACAGAGCAGCTATGCTCAGTCTTTCATTTCATTCTCTCGATTCTCGACAAGGTGAATTAGAGATGACGTCACGTCCCCCCCTCCACCCGGGACTTGTTTCTTTCTTAGCTTGCCGCACAATAATTCTGTCTGCGAGCCGACAATAACTTTAAGGATTATTTTTGCAATTAAATAAAATTTCAAATTAATTAACAAAATGCGTAAAAATGGCGCCTGCTCTTTATTTCAAAAGTTTTAATGCAAGTAATGCTTACATTGGCTAACTTAAACTAAACTAAACTAAACTCACTTGGCACAAGTCTTTTCCCTTTCCCTTTCTTATTCTCCTCCCGTTTTATTTTATTCTCCTACACCGCATTATTTATTTATAGAATTAGATACATTTAATATATCATCTTTTATTATCTCGCAGTTTATTATTTTTTTTTTAATTATTATTTTTTATTAAATTTTCCGCCAATTAAAATTTTATTAAATTGCAAGGAAATAAATGAAAAAAAAAAAAAAAAAAACTATTAGTGGTTTTAAAATCTTTTAAAAGAAGATGACTCATGGGAATTTTTAAACCTTTTCACTTATCGAGTTTAATTTACACCACTGTGATTATTCGCAGAGTTGCAGGAAAATGAAACTTTTTTATTTGCTCTGCAAGTTTCGGGTGAGACAAGACTATAGCTACTAACACCAAACATCAGTAATGTCGCGGAACAATTCTCATCCCCATCCCTGGTATTAACAGCTGGGAAGGGGAACCTTTTCAGGGTCGGGTTCAAACCCATAGGGAACGAAGAGAGGCTAAAGGAAAAATGAGAATGAATTGAATTATACATAAGTGGAATGAATAAATTCTTATGTTGGGTGCATTGGTGTTGTTATTATATATGCAGCACGTGCTATCTACAAGGTTGATATACACACGGAGGATTAGTTTTTTTTTTGTGGTGAGAAATTATTGGGGATAACGAATTGTGTTTGGAAATTGTTAGTTTTGATATAAATATTAATTTTAATAATATTTGAATTAGCAGTTGACAATTTTTTTATTTTATTGAATAAATTAATTTTTTGTTACAGAAAATCGGTTTTAAAAAATTGCGTTTTTTATTTTTTTTAAATTTCTACTAATTTTTTTTCCAATAATTTGTTTATTAAAAAAATTTTTAAACTTTAAAAATACTTTTTATTATAAGGAAAAGCCAAATTTTTTGAACAAAATTTTTAAAGCTTTAGAATTATAATTGAAAATTTTTTTAATTATCTATATTATTAAGAGAATAAGATAAGTATTTAGGCTGCATTTGAAAATGTTCTATATCTAGATACATAATTGAGAAATGACTTTGTATCTTGTGAACTATTAACAATTTTGAAGATATAAGCTCATCCTGATGTTATACTTATCGAGAGCTTTCATTTGAGTACCCACATCAATTTTTCATATATTTTTTATATTTATATATATTATATATATGTATATATATGAAAAATATATCAAAAATGCATGTGGGTACTCAAATGAAAGCTCTTGGTGAGTGTAACATCAGGATGAGCTTATATCTTTAAAATATATGTTATATATATGTATATATGAAAAATATATCAAAATGCCATGTGGGTATTATATATCTCAAAAAATGTTATTATTTAAAAAATGACAATGTATTTTGTCAACCAATGACATTTTTAAAGATACAAGCTCATCCCGATGTTACACTCATCAAGATCTATCATTTGAGTACCCACATCAATTTTTCATATATTTTAAATATTTATATATAATATATATACTTATTTATGAAACATATAAAAAATGCATGTGGGTATTCAAATGAAAGCTCTTTTGATGAGTGTACCATCAAGATGAGCTTATATTCTCAAAATACATATTATATATATATGTATATATGAAAAATATATCAAAAATGTAAGTGGGTACTTAAATAAAAGGTCTCGATGAGTGTAACATCGAAATGAGTTTATATCTTAAAAAATATGTCCTTGTATTTTGTGAACTATTGACATTTTTAACGATATAAGCTCACCCCGTCATTACACTCATCGAGACCTTTCATTTGAGTACCTACATTAATTTTCCAGGTATTTCATATATTTATATATATTATATATATAAATATATGAAAAATATATCAAAAATGCATGTGGGTACTCAAATGAAAGCTCTTGATGAGTAGAACATCGTGATGAGCTTATATCTTTAATATATATATTATATATATGTATATAATAAAAATATATCAAAAATGCATGTGGGTACTCAAATGAAAGCTTTTGATGAGTGTAACATCGGAATGAGCTTATATCTTTAATAACGTCAATAATTAAGCAAGTACAGTGCAATTTAACAAAAGTCATTATTTAAAAAGCAAAATTTTATTTATTTATTTTTCACAAGTCATGGCAGTCACATAGTGACTGCAAAGTTGCTAGTAATATTATAAAAAATATGTTAAAAAAAAAAAAACTATTTTTAAGAAGAGTGTGAGATTAATAAAGCGGAAGATCCTTTTTTGTAACACGAGCAGTTGACAGGATGCTATCCCCCAAAACAGGATATCCCAAGGGTGCTCATCTTCTGTCAGTGTCCCTTTTTTAAGGATATATAGTTATACCGGAAACTACGATTGTGGCGACTACCAGAAAACTAGAGCGGATAATTCATTACTCAAGTATTATGAAAGAGAAAAAAAAAACAATTTTATCAATGACGTGGGCGTATTCTGTAACACGGTAACATGCGAGTTTATACTCTAGAAAGTCGAAATAAAATTTATATTTTATCAAGCAGTGTCCAGCCTACAGGATTAAAATATTTCCTAATGTATAATAAAATAATATATGATAAGTCTTATTAATTATTGAATAATTAATTATTGTCAAGACAATAAATGCGAGAGATAAAAAATTAAAAGGCGTTGAAAAAAATAGAGGCGTAAGCAGCCGAGGTAGGTGTAGTGTTTATATAAAAAAAGTGTTAAAGATTTAAAAGCGTGTCTCAAGTGGCGTCTGGCACTTAAAAGAGATTTTTATTTTAACACGCTCTGGGATAATTACGCAGTCATACTGTCTAGCGCAAGAATAAATGAGACCTTGTGGTTTTTTTTATTGCTGCATTTTCCGTAAAATGAGTTTAAATTTAGAAGATTTATTTATCGACTCTGCGAATTTATAAATTTTATACAATTTATAGGCGCAATAGGTAACGTAGGTGAGCTAGTTACCGATTGGAAGTCAAGAAAGTACCGACTGGTATACAAGCGAGTTTTTGAATTGATAAATAATTACTTCAATCAACTCAATGTCATTTAACATTGAGTTTCTCTTTATTAAATTGAAATTACTCAAGTTTTTATGTTACATCATTTTTTTTTTCATTCACTTGTCGTTCAACCTAGAGATATTTTTTTGCTTATTTTAACTCTCGCAGGTCTTTGAAAATTTTTAATTAATCTATATTATTAAAATAATAAAGAAAATTTTATCTCTAGGATACATAGTTAAGAAATTACCTGGCATCTTGAGAACTATTGACATTTTTAAAGATATAAGCTCACCTTGCTTATATACTCATCAAGACCTTTCATTTGAGTACCCACATCAATTTTTCATATATTTATATATATTATGTATATGTATATATGAAAAATATATGAAAAATGCATGTGGGTATTCAAATGAAAGCTCTTGATGAGTATAACGTCGGGATGAACTTATATATTTAAAATATATATTAGGTTTAACATCATTAAAAAATGACCCCGTATCTTGTCAACTATTGACATTTTTCAAGATATAAGCTCACCCCAAGATTACACTCATCAAGACCTTTCATTTGAGTATCCACATCAATTTTTTATATATTTCATATATTTATATCATATATTACATATATGTATATATGAAAAATGCATGTGGGTACTCAAATGAAAGCTCTCGATGAGTGTAACCTCGAGATGAGCTTATATCTTTAAAAACGCCAATATTTAAGAAAGTACAGTGCAATTTAACAAAATTCATTATTTAATAAAGCAAAATTTTATTTATTTATATTCCACAAGTCACGGCCATCACATAGTGACTGCAAGATCGCTATTCTATTATTAGTTAAATATTATAAAAAAAAATTATAGTTTAAAAATGAATGCAATATTTTTAAAATAATTTTTTTGGAACAAATTTTTATTAAATTTTTTAATAAATTTTTATAAATAATAATACTAATAACATCGATGTTAGTGCCCCTAATACCAAAAGTAAATTAATTAGAAAGTTAAAAAAAGTAAAGAGACGAAATGAGTGTGCAAAATAAATAATAAGTGTATTAATAGGTCAGGCATATCTAATCAGTAATTACTTTAAAAATAGAGATATTAAAGGGTGATTAGTAATAAGTCGGACGGTCAGTGGCTCGTGAAAAGTCATACACATCCACGAGGATTTTATTTCCTTAGATTAACAAACCGCTTTCTGGGTTAAAGTTGTTTCCCGTGAGCAAACACTGCATTAGCTACCGTTTGCTGATTAACAACTCGATTATTGCTTATACACTCGTAAAAATAGTTCAAATATGAGATAAAGTTACATTGCCGAGCTAAGTAGGTTTACGAGAGGACATTAACCGTTATCATGAGGAGCTTTTGTGCCTCTGCTCTTTGCTTACTTTTTCGAGGTTCTGATAAAAGTTATTGAATCAAACAAACTTATTACAGGGCATTATCAATATAAATAAGAAAATATTTAATTGACTAGAGTTATAGAAACTCGTTTATTGAAAATACTTTTACTGGCGTTAATTTAAATCGAAAGTTGAACTCTAGTACCAGCTGAGTACTTATTAAGTGCTTATACTTGTACTTGTTCCGTACTT